ATTAAGGCTTTGTTTCTAAGAAATAATCAATCTAAAAAAAAGGAAAAGAATATTTAGTTATTTGAGATTTGTTTTTGTTTATTCCAAGGTTTACTGGATACAATTTGTCTTGGTTAACGATTTTTTAAATTGATAAACCTTCTTTTTTCGTCGATTCAAGCATTACTTGTTTTTTGGGGTGTGGGTGTTGGGTATCGGTGTGAAGAAACGGTTCAGACTTTTCTCGCATCTATGCCCACATCCCATATACCCACCCACACCCACACCCTCGACATGAAATTTGCTATATTTGTTCATCAAATAGATCATCACGATTTTATAAATATTTAGCGTATAGTTAGGTTAAATGAATATTAATTTATATGAAAAAAATCTATTATAAGATTAAATTAATATTGTCACCAATATTATTTTGTTCGAATTTGAAAAACTAATATATTTATAAAGTGATTTACCATATTATAAACAATTGATTATTGATAATTCTCATCAGAAATTTTAACAATAAACATAGTTAACTGTTTGATACGATCATCAAGTAAAGTGTTACAATTTTCAAAAACGATTTACACAAATAGATAATTTGTAAATAGTTGAAGAAGAAGAAGAGTAAGCTGTCAAAGGTAAATTACGAAATGATAAAAGTACACATGATCTAGTAAAAGATAAATGTTTTAGATTTTTGAAGAATTTAACTATATATTTGTGTACATAAGATCTCGAATTTGTTTTTCAGGTATCTTGTGAAATGGTGACTTGACTAAATTAAGAGAAATAATTAAATACCATGTAGAATATACAACGTGTCTATCAAACTCTGTGTTCATATTAGTAGAAGAATGTTTTACCTGTAAAATATTTCGAAGCAGTTTTGTTATTGAAATTGAAGAATTTAAGTACAACTAGATTAGGATAATCAGCAGCAAGAAGAATACGTTCCATAGATTCCGATTCAACAATAAGAGATTTAATATTAAGAGCAATTTTTGACGAAGTATTTATACAGAATCGATCAAGTTTACAATCATCAATCAACAATACATTATTAGTTATCATTGTCAATACAAAATTGAGACTTGTAGCAAACTTTTGGTCTTTTACTATCATATTAAGTTGTTGATTTTCAATATCCAATAATGAATAGAGAACATCCATAATGTCAAATCTCATCAATATGTTAAATAGTATTTCATTAGGTAGATCAAGAAATGTGGCATTTGACTGATTCATAT